AGAAATACTCCTTGTAGATGTTTGGATTCACATACTGTGAAGGTCCACACCAACCATTCGAATAATTCATCCATTGTTTTGAAGGTTGTTTTCTGTTCATCTCCATTCTTTATTCTAATTTGATGATATTTTTTTTTGAATCGATCTTCAAAAACACCTTAGAACCAATAAGTTGATCAAGCATGTCATCTAATTGAGGATTAGGAAAATCATACTTGACTATAATCTTGTTTGCACTAGGTTTGTCCACACAAATCTTCCATGAGTCATCTTTCTTTAACAAAGTTGGGCAAGCACAAGGACTTTTACTTTCACGTACCAAACTTTTCTCTAATAACTCCTCAACTTGTCTTTGTACCATCAAAGACTCACTTTGTGCATGATGAATATCAATTTTTTCTATCTCCTCATCATATCCATCATAAACTGCTTCTAATTCTTCCCAATCCACATTATCTTCTTCAGTAGTTGAGCTACTATAGTTGAATTGAGTAGCATCACGTCTTACAAGTTGCTTTTGTAATTCTTGAACTTGGTGACATAATTCTTGAATCTCATTCTTGTAATTATTGTTTGATAATTTTGATGTCTTGACAACATTTTGGGGAACAACAATTATGGTTGTGATGATATGGTGATGACGATGTGGTAATGCAAGAAAAATAATAATAATAGAATTATAAAACAATAAAAAAGACAGTTATCCGAACATATAAAGTCGAAACCCAAACTTTACAATGGGCACTGATCTTTCCACTCTGATATCAAAAGAACACCAGGGCGTTGTGAAGACACTTGGACATTGTGAAAAGCACCAATCATGACGAGGTTAAAAACCCCACTAAGATGAATCACCAATCTTGGCAAGGTTGAAAACCCCAATAAGGTGAAAAATGGTCATAATCCCACTTTAATTGGCTAGGCCAAAGATACTAAAACCTCTTATTCTTTAAAACGAGCCTAGAGAAGTAAGCACTATTGTTAAAGAAAATATTATTTATTAACTCTCAACTTGAATGTCTCATAGCTAAGCCTAAAGGTCTTATTTATAGTATTATAGGCTCATGTCCTAATAAAACTCTACTTCTAGTTGTCGAATACAATTAGAATAGTTAACAAGATATTTAAATAAAATACAACATGATTAGCTTAATCAAATAATAATTCTTAAAAGTATTAAAAATCTTGACAAAAATAAGAAAAAAATCTTAATCTAAATAGAATAAAGAAAACAAATCCTAAATCAACTAAAATTAGAAAAAACTAAATTAAATAAAATACAATCTTGGATGCTCTTGGGTCAAATCCCATCCTTCTCGAGATACTAAAAGAACTCTAAAGATTTATACTCTTCACCATTGTCGAATCTAAAAATTTTAATTTTTCTCCAAGATTCTTATTCAACTCTAGCCTTAAGTTTCATAAATAGATTAAACACTTCGGATTTATGTTTTATAAAATAAATTCAACACATTTTGGAAGCATCTTAAGATTAGGAAAAACTTGCTTCATTTAGAGATTATTCACTCATAGGGCTTTCTACATCAATGTGAACCAGTTCAAGCTTCTTGGTTGCTATACTGAACGAGCAAATTGAAAAGGCTTTCTTGTAGGTTTCCTAAACTAACATGTACTACAAACTTGGTTTGATTCAATTAAGGAAGGCAGATTCTCCCTCAAGCTTGACTTGTTAACCTGAACCAAGGAACCAAGATTACAATGCCTAAATTGTTTATGCTTAAGGGTTGTCATATTCGATTTAACCTTATAAGCTGGATAACAAACATCTTCTAGACTCATAGGAAAGCATTTTCTTTTTGTGGATACATTCATAACAAACTCACCCAATGAATCATACCCAATACATGATTTATCTTTAAAAAGCAAGACATAATCATCACCCACCATTTAGTCTATGTTTAGAAGATTTTGAGCAATATAAGGAACAAGCAACACTTTTGTGACAAACCTGATTCCTAGGGAAGTTTGAATGTTGACTATACTTTTTCCTACTGCATATAGATACTTGCCATTGCCTATTTCAACACTAAAGCGATGCAAAGTATCAAGTTCAGCAAAGAGTTCTTTGTTGGGGGTCATGTGATTTGAACAACTACTGTCCAATAACCATTGATTCAAGTCACCTATCTTGGGTTATGTCAAGGTCATGAACAACTACTCTTTGGCAACATCAGTCTTTTCATCTAGTTGAGGTGCTTTAACATGCTTCTCTAGTTTATGTTTATTTACTTTCTCAAGATGACCTAATTGGTTACATGCACAATAGCTTACACTCGATCTGAACCAACAGTAAGCCTCTAAATGGTTTTTTTTTCTTACAATGAAAGCATATCTAGAAGTTGCTCTTCTTCTAATGAGTTTTGTTATATTGAAGCCTTCTTTTTTCTTTCTCCTTTTGATCACCTGAGCCTTTTTTTTTATGCTTAACCTTCTTCTATCATTTTCATCTTTGCAAATAAAACATTTTCTATTGTATTATCCACTTGCATTGCTCTCTTTTGAATGCATTCACTACATCATTAAAAGTCAAGGTTGAAAGGGCTTTTGACCTTTCTAATGATATAATCGTAGATTTAAATCTTTGTGGTAGAGAGACAAGGACCTTTTGGACTACACAGCTTTCAAAAAGATTCTCTCCCAATAGTTGCTCCTGGTTCACCACTCGCATGATTTTGTTATTGTAGTATTTAACATTTTTGGTATCTTTCATTCTCAAGGTCTCAAACTCCTTCAATAAATTCATCCCCTGCATCTGTTTTGTCCTCTTTGAGCCTTGGAATTCCTCCCTAAGTTTGTCCCATGCATCCATGGTTGATTTGGATCCCTTTATCCTTATAAATATGACATCCGAAGTAGTCCCATGGACACATGTCAATGCTCTATATTGCTTCGCAACTTCCTTGTTATGTTGCATAATTTGTGCGAGGGTTGTAATCTCTCTCAAGATAGGCACCTCACCTCTAGATTCTATGACATCCCAAAAGTCCTAGCCACAAAGATAGGCTTACATTTTAACTTACCAAATTGCATAATTCTCTTTATTGAAGTTCGGTGGAGATTGATGACTAAGAATATTGCTTGAGGTCATTTTGCAAGTATGGTGGTTTTCTTTAAATTTTAGGAAAATGGCTTTTTGATTATCTTACAAAAACAATCCCTTAAGATCAAAAGTTAACCCTGATACCATGAAGATAAAATAAGAATAGGAATAAAGTTGATATATGAAGCAACTGTTAATGAATCAGATAAGAAATTTTATAAAAGAACAGAATTTGTTCTGATAAAAGGCATACTTTATTTATATGAGACAGGCCCATTTATGCACAAAAAGGTAGAATCCATGTCTTCACAAGTGTAATGCATGTAACAAGTGTTGAGGCATGGATTACAAGCATTAAAGGAATTTTAAAGATAGTTTAACATGTAATAACTGCAAGTAACTACTTGTCTTAATTCAATTAATCAGCTTAGTACATGTAGAAGCTTTATTCTCAACACTTATTGCTTACATCTGTGCCGGATGGTAACAAATACGGCGGCATTGCAGCCCTTGGGGACGGCCAGACCACCTCACTTAATTAGTTCCTAAACAAAAGTTCGAAGCCTGCGCTACTCTAATAAAGCCTCAAGATTGTACTCATTGTGCAAATCTTTGTTTTCACTTGCATAACGGTACTCCAAAAACTAAATGTTACCTAAAAACTAAGCCTAATAATCTCCTGAACAGTGTTCTTAATTAGTCAAGACCGGCAAGTATCCTCTGCCACCTTGCACCAAAACCTTCTCTGATTTGCCTTTCTGCACAAACTACTATTTGACACCTTGTTCTAGTGCTTCTGTCACCATCGAGACGTTGATTTCATAACATTTCTTTATGTGGAAACATTTGATCATATTAAAGTGTCGGTATGTCTTTGAAGATTCCAATGAACAAAGCCAAAGGTATACTCTCTTTTTGCTAAAGACAAACCCCTTTGTATCCAATATGAAGATTCATTCATTAAATTTTAATGCAGTATAGGAATTGCCACGTCATAGTTATAAATCCAATAAAATTAAAATGTGAAACAGAAATTAAAGACTGACGTGATAAAAAAAAAGTCTACCTAATAATGAATGTCTTTCAAATTTAAGTCTCTTCCACCAGAAAAGATACAAGGAAGTTGCCTAAATGGGCAATCAGTGTATAATTGACAAATGGAGTATACATATTAGCTTGCTTGGATGAACACAGTTTCCAAGCGCAACTTATATAAGGACAAGAACCCATCTCATCTCTCTTCAGTCTTCACAATTCTCATACAATCCAAATTCCTCACTTCTTTCAGTTCATAAAGAAAGATGAGTTGTTGCTCAATGTGGCTATATCGAATGCTCAGCTTCCTTTTTGCCTTCTTACTATTTCAAGTTAATTCTTCATCGATATCCCTTCTATCATCTCCTCCTCCACAATCATGCCCTTCTGAACATAGTTCTGCTTTGATCCAGTTCAAGAACAGCCTGTCACTTATCAGTGACTCTGCAATATGTAGAGATTCTTATCCTAAGACAGAATCCTGGAACCAAAGTACAGACTGTTGCTCCTGGGATGGTGTCACATGCCACAGCATGACGGGTCGGGTGATTGGCCTTGATCTCAGTTGTAGTCTACTTGAAGGCAATCTTCCATCCAACAGCAGCCTCTTCCTCCTTCAGGATCTCCAGTGGCTTAACCTTGCCCACCTCAATTTCATTGGTTCTCAAATTCCTTCTGAGTTTAGTAAGTTGAGGAGTCTAACCCATCTCAATCTTTCTTATACAGGGTTCCACGGTATGGTTACAGAGAAAATCTCTCTTTTGTCAGAACTGGTTTCACTTGATCTGTCATCTCCTG